TTTACTTAGAAAATATATAGCTAAAATCAATATATAAGATTTTATTAAAAAAATTAAACTTTTTAATAAAAACACAGACAAATTTGTCTGTGTTACAATTTAAGAGATATATATATTATTATATAAAAATTTTATAAATACGATTTTCCTATTAGACTATGCATTTGATTTACATAGTGCATTGAACACTTCAACGTACGATACAAGAAATCCAAAACCCACAATTATACCTTTTAAAGACAAAATACAAGCATGAAAATCCTAAATCATTAATATAAATAAAGTGCATGTGTAAATACTTTATTAAAGTTGATAATTTAAGAAATATAACTTTTAATATGTTACTTGATTATCTGCCTGGCATAATTTGTAATTTGTAGTTTTTAGATTTCTTGTATCATACATATAAATTTTAAATATCTTTAAACAAATTTTATTTAGTTCAAAAATATGTCTGTTAATTAGTCTTTACTTGTTAATGAGCACTCTATAATTTTATTACAAAGAGAAAATGAATATTCATAGAAATGAATAAGTGATGAATTAAAAAATTGAAGAGAGAACAACTATAATTATACTAAATATTCAGTTATTTTAATAGTTATTTGTTCACTATCTTTTTTATTTAGTATCTTTCTGTTTTTTTTTATCAGAAAGGTGATTTTCAAAATCTAATTTGGAATATTATCTCTACCTTCATTATTGAAACAGGAGGTGCAACTACTCTTATCAGAAGTTTAGCAAGTCTTAAAAATTTCTTTAAAAAAGCTAATTAAGAAAAAAGAAAAAATTAAGAGTTTTATAGATTTTATCAAAGAGATTGAAAGCAAATTTGAAAAAACTGAATATGAAATAAACATCAAATAGAATGGATATAGCGAAACAAAATTAAAAAAACTTTTGAAGGATCAAGAAAAAGTATTAAACTTTTTAGAAAACCTGAATAAACATATACAATATATGTTAATTTGTCGCATTATATATGTTATTATAGTATCAATAATTTTTATTATGTTATCAATAGTTTCAGTTTTTTTTTTATTATTTTCTAATGAAAGCACTATAGTTAATAAGATTGACATATTACTCATAGTCTTTTCAAAATTTTGTTTATTTAGTAATATTTTTGATATGATTAGTATTCAACTCATAATTCCAAAAAATAACTGAAAGATTAGTTAAAGAATCCGAGAAAGACTAGTTAGAATTTCTGAGAAAAGTTCTAAAGATTATGAAGATCTTGGAGAATTTAAAAATAATAATGATCAAAAATACAAATCTAGAGTTAAAATTAAAAAAAATTGTAAAAAATTACATAAAAATGCTAAAAAAGTAGGTTTATCAGAATTAATTGAAAATTTAAAATTAACTATTTTTTGTATTTTAGTATATTTTATTTTTTTCATGGTTTGATGTCACTAGATGGAAAAATTAAAAGAGTTGGTATGTTAAATAGTGAATTAGATGAGATTAACTGTATTCTTTATGGATTATCAGAAAAAAGCTTCATACTTAGTTTTTTTTGCTATTTCTTCAGGTATATTTTATTTGATATTTTAAATAAATAAACTTCTTTTAAAAAGTTAATATTATACTCTTAATTTGTGCTATTTGCCCTACCTGGTAATTATATCATTGTTGACTGTATTTCAATTAATAAATAATATTAACTAAATCGACTTGAATAAAATATTGCATATCAACCAAATCAATATAGACAATAAACTAATAAAACTAATGCATACATTGTTTCAAATATTTGATTAACAAATTATTTTATAATTTTGCAAATGAAAAAATCTGGAACAGATTATATTAACTCCAATTACCAAATTGATAATCATTAAAAATCCTTATGTTATATGATAAAAAATCTGCAAAAACTATATTAAAAATTACTTTACTATCTTTATCACATAGGAATATTTATTAAAATTGTTATAGGATACAGATTTTACTTAAGCAGCTTCTGTATAATGAATTAAAAAAAAAATTAGCCAGAGGCAAAAAAAGAGGCATTTTTGACAGCAGCAGTTACTAACAAACTCAAAAAGAATACATGTGCATAAAAAAAAAAAGAAAGAAAAACTGTTAAAAAAAAATTTGTATAATGCAAAATGTTAAGAAAATAATTTAAGTTATATTTCTGTATTTTGGAGCAAATTATATTTCTATTTGTATAATACAAAAATTTTTAAGTCATATTTTTTTGAAACTTATCACTATATTAAATGTTAACTGTTAAATATTAATATTATTATTGTTAATATTTGAAATCAAGATACTAATATGGGGTTTGAAATTTGGAGACTGATATAATCTGTCCCAGATTTCTATTACTATTTGCTATAATTTCTGATTAAATTAACCTAAATAAGTAAATTAATGAAAAATGATAGATAATTTATAATCTTACCAAGATAGAATAACTTAAGAAGCAGCAAAATTTTTTTGTTATATTTTAGACTAATAGACTAATTTAATATAATTAGGGTCTGTAAGTTAACATGCCAGGCTGTGTTAGGCAGAAACACTAGTGTCTAAGTGTCTGTAATTGTTTCTTGAATTTTGCCAGTACTAGTGTTGATGTTACAATATTTTTCATACATAGTCTATACTATGTATTATATGATTTTTTTACTTCACAACTAGTTTTATTATTTTCGTAGATAATAATATAACTGGAATTATAGTAATTTATAATAAAAAAAAGATATGTGATATAGTAAATATTAGAGAAATTTACATATAAAGCTGAAAAATAAAAATTATTAATATATAGATTATATAAATGCAATTGTCTTTTGATATTTAAATGTATTAATTTTTAATCAATATTGTATTTATTCTCTTAGTGCCTTTCATATAAAAATTATAACTATTTTTACCAATTTTAAATGTAATTTAATTTCTTTACGAATAAAAAATGAGCTTCTTCGGTTCTAAATATCTTCGATTTGTGTATAGCAAGCTTTACAAAATATTGATTTACTAGTTTGGTATAATGATGGGATAAACATATTAATTATAAACATTACAATATTAATATATAGTATATTGTATTTAATCTAGTCAGATTATTACTTAGTAAAAAGAAAGTCCATTATAGTGTTGGCAGGTGAAACTATTTTTGGCAAATAGTGAAAGATGAAACCAGGCAAAACTCTGATAAAATGGCAAAATGGTAAAACTCGGGTGAAACAGTGAAACTGTGATGAAATGGTGAAACTCTAGTGAAATCTCTAGTAAAGTTAAAACCTCTGGGAAGACCCAAAACTTGGCAAAAATCAAATTCTCCAAAACTTAGAAAGACTGATCCATGTTAGTAAATCAAAATATTTGTATGCAACTATTAAGCACAGCATGTGGCTTATTTAAAAATATACAAAGGCAATAAACAAAGTGATAACCTTTTTATTTGTATCCAAGTACAGAACTTCAAAGTAAATAAATTCAACCTTGAAAATTCAAAATCTAAAATCTTATTTATTTTTTTTAGTAATGCTTATCTATGTATTAATGTTGTGTAAAATAAACTTTTCTAAATATTTCAATAAATTTATTGTTAGGTTATTGAGATTTTTTTTTTAATATTATATTGTTAAAAACTTTAATTAAATACAATTATTTAGACTCAATAATTTTTAATTATTATATTTGATTTAATTAGTTTATTAAAATATAACTAATTTATTTTATTTTTATATTTTAGTGATTCAATATTAATTTTTAAATAAGTTCTAGTAAAGAAAATATTAGTACTTTACTTCTATTATAGAAAAAAAGAAAAAAATCTTAGTGTTATCTAGATGATCTAGTTTGAAATTATTTTACTAAAGGTAAAAAAAGAAGATATAAAGCAACTTGTAATTTTTGTGAAATATTATAAAATCATGATAAACCAATTGAATTAAAAAGTCATTTAGCAAATTATTGTTCAACCTTATTTATTTTTTTTTGTTACTTGTTTTTTTTTGTACCTTTGTTTTCTTAGCACAGGTTTTGTAAATGCAAGTGATGTGTTTTTGCTAGTAAATTACTATTAAAGAAAGTATTCAAAAAATTGCTTCAACAAACATATTATTAAATTTTTTTTTTGCAATCTTTGTGACAAACAATTGCTATTGTATATCTAAAAGAAGTTGCAGCTTAAAAATTTTATTCATCAAGAATTTCTAATTATTACATTAATAGAAATTTTCTCCTTTTGTTTGCTATATATATTCTAGCTAAAAGATGTGTATGCATTATGAATTGGCCTTAATAACCAAAAATTTGAAACTGTAATTGTATGAAGAAGGTTTTCTTTATATTTTATATAAAATTTTATTATAAGTTTTTGTGATAGTTTTAATGCTGAAGCTTTTTAAGACTTGGCTTTTATTATAGTTAGATGTTTTAATCAAAAAAGTCATGTATTTGTTACGAATTGGTTTGATAACCAAAATAATAATAATAATAATAACGCTTTCCTGCTAAATTATGTTTAATATTGACTATGCATATTTTATTTCAATTTTGTTATATCTACAATTTACAAATTAGAAAAACATAAACCTATAAAGCACAGAACAATTAATGATATACAAGGTAAAAGTTTTATTTGAAGAGATTCTGCGAATATACATACGTACAATAGGTAAATGAAGGGCTATCTGATAGAATTCAATGGTGCTGATCACTGTAGCTAATTACTCGATAATAACTAGCACACATTCAAGATATGCTATAAAAAAAATATTATGTAAATATTATAAGTTTTAATTAATAAGACACATGAGCGATGAACATAAATTTTACTATTGTACATGTAAATTCAAAATAAAGTTTCATAGCAATGCGAATTATATAGTCAAAAGTCAATTTAACTTATTAAATCTTATAAATACAACCCGAATACGATAAAAAAGCTTTGAGGGCATGCTCAGAACGATCAAATAGCACATATAAGATAAATAAGATATGATATTATAAAATTTTTATATGAAAATACTTTCTGTTTTAGCTAAAAGGAAATGTGGAAGATCACGAATAAGATTGCAATCTAATACGTAAATAAGATGCCTAACGTAATCATAAACTTTATCAGAAATAATCTGCTGCATATCGACAAAAAAGATTAGAGGGGGTTAACTTGATATGCTCGCTTACATTATATTAAATTATTGTATGCTTGATTAAGGTTAATAGCTACATTTCTGGACCTAATAGCATTTTTCTACTTAGTCATTTTTTCATTCTTCTAATTTCATTATCTTAATCGCTGCACAAAGTTTTATAAGCCATGACTATTAGAAATTGCCCCGCTCCTGGTTTCTAGCGCGACTGCGTCGCGCAGCTACTTTATATTATTTTCTAACAAGACATACTTCTACAGGTTCTACTCCAAAATCACGAAAGACAGATTCTCGAAAAGGACACAATACTGACAAAGTTAGCCAGCATTAGTTATAATGCTGGCTAATTTAGTCAATATTATGTTCTTTCGGGAAAATGGCCTTCAGGATTTTGTGGTAGAACTATAAGAAAGTTAGGGCCTGCATGTTTGAACATTTCATAGCCAATTCCAGAGGGCAACAAGCTTTGTTATTAGGAAGTTGATTAATAGTTAGAATGACTTTATTTTCAGTAAAGTCATAAAGAATATCCAAGTACCAAGTAGAATTAATATGAGGTTTGGGGTTGTATTCAATTGCTATTAGAAGTTAAATATGTTGGTATTAATGTGACAAGAGGCAGTTTAATTATCGAAGTGTTGTTGGATATGTGACTTGATAGTTGGAGAGTTAGTAATAATATTATTGTTTAGTTGAATATATTAAATTTAACTGGGTTTTTGTATTGAAGTAAGATAAGTTTGCAGTTTGAAATATCTTTTGTTAATAGTATCAGAGATTTGTTGTCTAATTTTATTAATGTTTTCTATATTCTGGAAATAGAAGAGGTTTTTCAACTCAGAGTTGGCATTAGTGATCCAAGAGGTAAGAAGTTGGTATATAGATAGTAATAAAAAGATATATAAATCTGCAGATTGAATAAGTAAAGTGATAGAGATATTAAGGTAGAGAGATATAGGTAAAGAGTTTTTTAGAGCAAGTTTTGCATGTTAGATAATATTACTAAGCTTTTTAAGATTGAAGTATAATTGAGAAGCTTTAGAGGAAAAAATATGCTGGAAGTTATAAACTGTAAATTTTTTATTGAGATATGTTGTAAAGTAGCTATAATAATAATAGTATAAATTTTGTGCCAAGTAGTTTCAAGGGAATCCGAGATTTGAGTTGAAAGTGAAGTGTAGTTGGAGTAGAGATTAGTGTGAACTTGGTTAAAAAATTCTTTCTATTTAGTATTATTTATAGCTTTGTAGTTGAAAACTCTTTTGCAGATACATGTTTTGTGCCTATATTGGCATGTAGTATATAGAAGAAGGACCAGTAAAAGATAAGAATTTTGTGATTACTGAGTGAGTTACTTTGTATATCATCTATATTAAATGAGATAAGATAAGTTAAAATAGTGTGATAGGTCCAAATAAAGTCAATTTTACTACTATATCTGAAGTTATGCTAGGTAGGAGAGAATAAGGCCATGTGTGAAGCAAGATTGTACCTGTTATTGTAGATAAGAAATTAGAGAAGTTTATATTTAATAGATGAGAAGTAAATGTTGTTAGTTGAGGCATTGAAGTCTTTAAGTAAGATAGAGAGTAAATTGAGAGTGCTAGTGTCCTGTAGCTATTGAATAATGGTATTTTGAGTTTAAAGTCTAATCGAGGCATTGTAACTAGAGAGGTAAGTGGAGATAATATAAAATTTAAAATTGTGTTTAAAAAATAAATCAATTAGAATAGCATAGCCTAGAATAGAGTTGATTTTGTATATATGAGGAGTTAAGGAGCTGCATATTATAATAGCAGTTCTAGCTTTGAAGTGATTTGTATAGAACTAAAAGTAGGTATAATGAGAAGTTTTAGGAGATTTGAAGGTGAGGTTGTTGTTACAAGCAAGTTTAGTTTTGGTAAAACAAATAATATTTAAATTGTTGGATAGGCAGTATTGTTCTTAGATTTGTTGTTTAAGGTTTTGGTTAAAGCCTCAGATATTGTGTGTATATATTGTGCATCAGATACATCCTTGCATCAGATCTAATCTGACTCACGTCAGATGCTAATTTTTATGTGATGCACGTCACCTGTTAATTGGTCATTTAACGTATGTTAGTTGTAATCTGACATAAGATCTTCAATATCTAATCTATAAAAAAAAAAGTTTAAAGGCTTCAATGAAAATGTAATATGTTATTATATTTAAGAGTATAAAATAAAACTCTTCGCTTTAATCATGTCTTCTTTTTCTTGGAGCTTGGTTTATTGTCTTTGTAAATATTGGTTTTACATCTTTTATTAGCTTTATATCTCTTGTCGGCTTTTGCATTTGACAGTGGCTTTCGTATTCTATATTGGCTTTTGCATTGGACATTGGCTTTATATTGAATTTAATGTTGGTGGTTCCTACTAATTTCTCATTGACTTAATTATTAGTGCTACTTTATTCAACACGTTTCAGTTTGTAGCACTTTGTCATGACATAATTTTTTTTTTTTTAGCCTTAAAATAACTCTGATCTTGTTCTTATTTTCCTTAAGCCTTGGTTTTATTTTTGGCACTGCTTTATAACTTCGGTTTGTTCTTTCCTCCTTCAAGCATTTGCTTTTTTTTTTGGCATGCCTAATTTTATTTTATTTATAACTTTGGTCTTCTTTAACATAACTTTGTTCTTTGGCACTGCATAATAACTCTGGCCTTGTTCTTTCCTCCTTAAATATTTGCTTTTTTCTTTGGTACACCTAATTTTACTTGTAACTTTGATCTTCCTTAATGTTGGACTTTGTTTTTTTTGGCGCTGCTTTATAACTTTGGTCTGTTCTTGCATTTGCTTTTTTGGTGAGCCTAATTTTACTTTATAACTTTGATCTTCCTTAATATTGACTTTGTTCTTTGGTACTGCATTATAACTTTGGTCTTGTTTTTGCCTCCCTTAAGCATTGACTTTTTTTTTTTGGCGCACTTAATTTTGCTTATAACTTTGATCTTGTTCTTACCTTTTGTAACGTTGGCTTTGTTCTTTGGTGCTTTTTTGCACCTAATTTTACTGTCTTGTTCTTACCTTCTTAAGTGTTGGCTTTGTTC